ATCTTCACATCCAACTAAGAGGTGAGTCCTGTTATAATTTTTCCCATCCTTTTGAATATGCAAAAAAATAAAATTTTTGGAATGCCCACAAGTATTTGACAACTCAAACTAGGATACATGGAAACAAAAAGATATTTTTAAATTGGTATTTAGAAAGTCTTAGCAAAACTTTGTCTTCCCAAATAGGAGATTAACTGCTCTCTTTATAACATTTTTAAAATTATTTTTAAATCTTTATTTAAATTCAATTTAGTTAACATATACTATATTATTAGTTTCAGGGGTAGAACTTAGCAATTCATCAGTTGCATATAACACCCAGTGCTCATTACATTAAGTGCCCTCCTTGATGCCCATCACCCAGTTACCCCATCCCCTGCCCCCCACCTCCCCTCCAGCAACCGGCAGTTTGTTTCCTAGAGCTCAGCATGTTTTATAGTTTGCCTCCCTCTTCTTCCTCTTATTTTTCCTTCCCTTCCCTTACATCCACGTGTTTTGTTTCTTTTTTTTTTTTTTTTAAGATTTTATTTATTTATTTGACAGAGATCTCAAGATCTCTCTCAAGTAGGCACAGAGGCAGACGGGGAGGAGGGGGGAAGCAGGCTCCCTGCTGAGCAGAGAGCCCCAATGCAGGGCTCGACCCCAGGACCCTGAGATCATGACCTGAGCCAAAAGCAGAGGTCCAATCTCACTGAGCCTCCCAGGCACCCCAAGTTTGTTAAGTTCTTTACAGATTTTAGATACTAGCCCCTTATCAGATATGTCATTTGCAAATATATTCTCCCATTCCGTAGCTTGCCTTTTAGTTGTGTGATCTATTTCCTTTGCTGTGCGAACCCTTTTTATCTTGATAAAGTCCCCACAGTTCATTTTTGCTTTTGTTTTAACCAACTGAAAAATGAACTGCAACTTTGTTTTTCATGGATGGTGGGGACCAGGAGTTGACAAGCTATGGCTCCCCAGACCAAATTCAGTCTGCCTCCAAAAAATGTACAGTTTGCAGCCTAAGAATGACTTTTACATTTTTAAATGGCTGCTGGGGGTGGAGAATATTGCATGGCACATGGAAATCATATGAATTTCAATTTTCGGTGTCCATAAATGAAGCTTCCTGGAATATGGCCACACTTGCTTGTGTACGTGTTGGTCTGTGGCTACTTCTGTGCTACAACGGCAGAATTGAGTGTCAACTACACAGAGCCAGGAAGCCTAAAATATTTACCATCTGGCTCTTTACATAAACAAACTTGCCAGTCCCTTTTATAGAATAAACTTCAGCCCTACTACCATTCAAATTATGCCAAATTCTGAACTTCTGAGTTGAAAAAGAAATGCCTTGCTCTAGTTTAAATAAAAGACAATTTCGGAGTTTCTGGCTGGCTCAGTCCTTGGAGTGTGTTGCTCTTGATCTCAGGGTCGTGAGTTCAAGCCCCACATTGGGTGCAGAGATTACTTAAAAAGAAAAAAACAATTTCATTTCTATTATCTTATTTCTATTTCTATTCTAAAAGTTTACAGAAAAAGTGAGCACAATTGTCTAGATAAGACTCACTTGGTACCAGTAGCATAAATTTTACAAAATTTGGAATCTCAACGGAGCTGTCTGTGCTTCTATTTACATGAGTTCACCTAACAAATGTTTTTCCTTTATCTTAACCGTGGACATAAGCACAGGCCCAAGAAGCATTTGGCTAATAGAAGGAAACCTGGATATGGGCTCTGGACTCTGTCCTGTTGCATCATTAAGGTGAACTCATAGTGGGGTGCCTGAGTGGTTCAGTTGGTGAGGTGTCTACCTTCAGCTCAGGTCATGATCCTGTGGTCCTGGGATGGAGCCCTGCATCAGGCTCCCTGCTCACTGGGGAGTCTGCTTCTCTCTTTCCCTCTGCCACTCTCCCTGCTCATTCTCTCCTCCTCTCTCTCACAAATAAATAAATTTAAAAAATCTTAAGAAAGTTGAACTCACAGTGAATGTGAGCACTCTGCCATCTGCTTTGGAAGGTCTCATTTTTGGCATTAGCCCTATACAGTACTAGTTCTTGGGGGAGCAGGAATGGCCCTTCCTGTCAGGACTGGATTCATGAGCATGTGACTTGAGCAGTCAGCCGAGCCCATGTGTAGTTTAAGCGTGGTATCATTTCTTGAAATTCTTCAATGATTTTTGAGCAAGAAATCCTACATTTTGGTTTTATAGCAGGCCCCATAAATTTTGTAGCTGGTCCTATTTCTGATAGATGGTTAAATACGGAAAACTGCATTACAGGGAATGGGAAAGAAAGTTCTTGCACAACGAATTTTTTTTCCATACCCACACATCCTATGGAAGAAAATGTAGGGCAGGATCCTATAGACCAGATTTTGCTTTGTGTCACCTACAAACAATGTGAATTAGAGGTAGATGGTTAACTCGTCTGAGCCTCTGTTCTCAGATGCAAAATGGGATGATAATATTTATTCTGTCCCAGGGGGGTGTTGTGAGGATCAAAGGGGGCAATCTAGGTGACAGCATGCCCTTAGTAAATTGTGAAGCCTTTGTAGAAACACAAAGCCTTTCCTTTTTTTTTTTTTAATAAAGATTTTATTTATTTATTTGACAGACAGAGATCACAAGTAGGCAGAGACACAGGCAGAGAGAGAGAGGAGGAAGCAGCCTCCCTGCTGAGCAGAGAGCCCGATGTGGGGCTCGATGTGGGGCTCGATCCCAGGACCCTGAGATCATGACCTGAGCTGAAGGCAGAGGCTTAACCCACTGAGCAACCTAGGCGCCCCACACAAAGCCTTTCCTTATGTGAGGATAGATCAAGGAAATGCCACAAAAAGGAGAAGATTCCAGGAGGTCCCCTATGGAACTCAGAGCTGGTCTTATCACTGTTCTCCTGCTGCTCCTTAAAGCAATCTCTCGCTGCAACCCATGCAATTTCAAAAAAGAAAGTCACACTCATGTCACTGTCCTGCTTAAATCCCATTGGTGGACTCCTCTCTGCTCTTAGGATAGGGCAGGGTCTTGGGGCCTGAAGTACAGGTCTCTTATATGCTAAAAAGGACCCCAAATAAAGAATAACCTGAATAAATGGTTTGTGAAAGTGACCAAAGAGGGGCCTGGCTCACAGATGTTCTCTCTAGAAGAAATGGATGGGCCAAGCACATTGTTCACCTTACCTTTGAGAACCAAGATTAAGTACCTTGAAGGAAGGAACCAGGTCTTACTCTTCTTCCAGGACCTAGAGCAATGCCTGGTTTGGAGAGGATATAAGAGAAATTAAATGCTAGACATGGAGACAAGAAGCTTGGGGTCATACCTTCCCCTGCCACCTATTAGGGCTAGGATTTTGGGCAAGTCAGTGAGCCTCTATTTCTTCTCAGAGTTGCTGTGAGGATTAAATAAAACATGGCAGAGAAGTGTCTGCTCCAGTGCCTGGCACAAGGTAAGAAGCCACTATATGGTAGGTGCTATTCAATGAATTACAGGCTCTAGACTTGAGTGTACCAGTAGCAGTTACCTTACTTAAACAGCTTGTATTTTTAGAACCCTTCATCATTTCATCTACAAATAATACACAAATGGACTGAATGTAGTTGAGATTATTACTGTTAAATTTCTTTATGACTAAACCTAGAACTTCTAAAGGTAATTCAATTTCAGATTCTGATTTTCATTGCTCTACCATTTCTTCACCTCTTACTTGTGGATAATTTCTTTCTTTCTTTTTTAGAGATTTTATTTATGTATTTGAGGGGAGAGAGAATGAGAGAGAGAGAGCATGATGGGGGGAGGGTCAGAGGGAGAAGCAGACTCCCTGCTGAGCAGGTAGCCTGATTCGGGATTTGATCCTTGGGACTCCAGGATCATGACCTGAGCCGAAGGCAGTTGCTTAACCAACTGAGCCACCCTGGCACCCTTGTGGATAGTTTTCTAATGAATGTTTACAAATAAGAACTAAATCGCCTACTTTAAAAAAAACCCGAAACTTCCTTTTTCAATTTACACTTCCATATCTCATTTCAGTTCCCTTTACTATTTCATACCCTTAGTCTCTCAGGAGGTTCTAGAGCTGTTTTGTAATGGTTTGTTTGTTTTGTTTTTCTGAAAGGACAATCCTTGAATAAAATGTAGAACACTGCTTAATATTTCTGAACATAACCTCCTGGGGTCCTCTTTTACAGAATATCCAGATATCTCAGAGTAAACCATTTCTTCTCAGAATCCCTCATGGTGGCCCCATCTAACCATACTGGAGATATGAACCCTTTAATCTGTTTAAAGCAATTGATAAATTGCATGAAAAATTTTGCACACACTGTTTATGAGAGTTTATGAGCCCCATGAAGTCCACCCATGGTAGCCTTAAAGATGAGTGGTCTCAGGGCACCTCAGTGGCTCAGTCAGTAAAGCAGCAGACTCTTGATTTCAACTCAGGTCGATCTCAGGGTCATGAGATCAAGCCCCACATCAGGCTCTGCGCTAAGCATGGAGTCTGCTTGGGACTCTCTCTCCCTTTCTCCCTCTGCCCCTCCCCTTTTTCTCTTTCTCTCTAAAATAAATAAATACATCGTTAAATGCTGAAGTTCTTTATGCCTTTAAGAAAAAAGATGAGTGGTCTCCATTTGAATCTCTACCCTAAGATATTCATTACTAGTAAAAGCTTAATGTTTACCCCTCCATGCTCTCCGCCTTCCAGACATATATGCATTTTAACAGGAAGAAACTTGGTCTAATTGAAGGGACTCTAGACCGGGGGAATTTGAATTTCAGGCTCTAGGAACAAGTATGGAGTAGAGAAATTCGGGACCAGGAGTAAGCCATTACTTATTATTTATTTGTTGTGTGGTATCTCCACTTTTTTGAAGCTTCTGATACAATTATGGTTCTGTACCCACAGACCCCCAAATGCCCATATTGAGGATTGAATAGCTGGAATCCTACCAGAACAAAGTTTATAAACCAGGATCATAAACGGAAAGACAGAGTGCCCAAAGGTTAACACACTGCTGTTTTACAGGATGAAAACTCGTATTACATCAGTGAAGTGAGAGCCTATTTGACAGTCGCAAACCCAGGTAAGCTGCTAGAGAAGGTCACTCCACTAGCAGTGACACTGTGCCTCGGGTTAGCTCGTTTTTCAGCCCATTGAATTTGCTCATCTTTGATGCTGCTTTGGAGAAGCCAATGGAGAAAGTAACCAGGAGAAGGCCATGCATCTTTGTATGCTTCCGTTTGCTCAGCTGCCTGTGAAGAAGGGGGGACTACGTTATGTCGGAGATCGTTATCAGCAACTCGAAAGAGTTGAGTGACTCTGGGGCAGATTTGCTAGTGATGGTGCAGTTTCTTCAGTACTCTTGGAATCATGCATTCATTCTACAAAAGTGTGGTTAGTGCCAGCTAGGTGCAAAGCCCTGTAAGAGGCAATAGAAATGCATATTAGCCAAACATATGGTCCCTGCTGTCATAGAGCTTACATTCTAGAAGTGGGGAGGGGACCACAAACAGGCACATTAAATTATAACAGTTAAGTAGTATTAAGTCCTATGAGCAAACACAAGCAGGTTGGGGTGGGGTGCAGAGGACTGGAAAGATATTTTTAGGTAGGGCTTTTGGGAAGCTCTCAGGGGAGGAAGACCTCTCTGAAGAGGTGAGGCTTGAGCAGAGAGATATCCCCATTTGGGGGCATGTGGGCCTGGGGAAGGTTTTTTTCAGGTGGCAGGAGCAACAGATGCACAAGCCCTTAGAAGCCAGCTTGCACATAGGTTCAGAGAGCGGCAAGTGTCACATGTCCCCAAGAGAGCGAGCAGAGCAACAGAGCAGGTCTGACGGACACCCGGGCCAGAACATGTAGGGCTTCTGCGTGAGGCAAGCTGAGGACTTTTGATTTGAGTTTAAAGTGTGAAAGGATGTCAGTGGAGGGTTTGATGTAGGGAAATGGTATATCAGATTTACACTGATAAAGATTCCGTTTGGTTGCTGTATCGAGAATGGCCCACAGTGGGGCCAGTTGAGAGAACTCCGGTAAGGTTCCCATCCAGGAAAGTAATGCTCCCTGTCCAGTGGGGGGAAATTTCTTAGGCGACTCAAATGTTTCTCTTGAAAGCCCAGAGTTTGATAGCAAACCATTGCTGGGCACCTCCTCTGTGTCACTAACTGTACAAAGTTTTCATGTCTGTTTTCTCCTTTTTAAAATTCTATCTTATGACGTGCTTAAGCTTATCTTATTAAGGAACCTACGCTAAAGAAACTTGCCAAGAAATGAAAATGTCGAGAAATGTCTATTTAAAATATAACATATTTTATTGATATTGTTCAAGAGGATATTATCCATGATTATTGTTTAAAAGTAAGTAAGATGTCACAGTTGAGAATTCACTTTAATATATAGTACCTCTCTTAGACGACTGTACTCACAGAGGCTGGGGAATAAATATTGTGCACGCTAACAAAAATTAGCTAATGTTATCACAAGGTATGGATGAATTTTAGCCAGGAGTCGGGTAGTAATGTCTCAAGAGGCAGGGAAAGGGAAAGTGAGACCAGAGGCTGAGTTAGAAGCTGAGAAAGGGGATGAAACAATTTAGGTCCCCCAAATCCAGGCTCAACAGAAGCAGGAGGAACTGTAGGAGTCACGATGATGATAATTTGCACGTCAGCGGTGGCGGTGGTGGTATTATAACAGTAGTCAGTTGTAATTACAGTGGTAATGACTGTTGTAATGTTAGTGGGAGTGATCGAAGTAAACTACCCTGGGATATAACACATGATATAGCGGTGTCCATGGATAATTCAGGGCATCGTGTAGGGCATTTGAATGTACATATGCGAGAGTCTAACCACTTACTAGCTGTAAGCTCTTAGGCAAATAAATATTTTCAGTTCTCTGACTCTCCATTTCCTTGTCTATAAAATGGAAACAGTAGAACCGATCTCAAAAGATTATATGAGAATTAAACAGGACAAGGGTGCCTGGGTGGCTCAGTCGGTTAAGCGTCTGCCTTCAGCTCAGGTCATGATCCTGGGGTCCTGGGATCGAGCCCCACATTGGGCTACCTGCTCAGCAGGGAGTTTGCTTTTCAACCTCTGTGCCTTCCCCTTCTTGTGTGCTCTCTCAAAAAGAAAAGAGAAGAAAGGAAAGGAAAGGAAAGGAAAGGAAAGAAAGGAAAGGAAAGGAAAGGAAAGGAAAGGAAAGGAAACAAAGAATTAAGCAGGACAGTGCCTGCAGAGTACTTGTGTGGTTATTCCTGGCACATAGCAAGGAGACCCTTAATGTGGAAGGCTACCTTAGACACGGGCAAACACACCCACAGAGGCAGGAAAGGAGGGAGACTTTCAAGCCCCCTCATTAATAGCCCATGGGTATTCCTTTCAGGCACATCTTTGATAAATTCATGAAGGTCCATAGTCCAGTCCTCAATCGTGAGAGCTGTCAGCAAGCACCCCCTACATCTCTTCAAGGAGACATTTAAACCAAGGTCATGAAACTGATGTATAAAATCAAAATCTAAACGTGTGTGTTTATCATGCAACTATTTCTTATGGTAATTGCCAAGGAGACTAGACAGTTGGGTCGTCTGGCCAGTGAAATTTCTCCCATTTAAGAAGCCAAAGTATAATCAGAAGGGTGTAGGATGAATGTAGCACTAGAACAAATGGAGTTAATTATATGATTAAAATGTTTAACCCCACCTGCCTTGAAGCATATGCTTCCTTGAAAAGGGTGTACCTCTCCTAAAACAGCAGCAGTCCCTGAGCAGGTCTTTCTCTCCCTGGCAGCACTCGGGTAGACAGAGATGGGCCTCTCCCTTCTCTGTGTCCCCATGGATGGATATAACACCCCTCCAAATGATGGGATCAGCCTGTCCTTTTGCTCTATTAATACAGTCTGGTAACATGCAGATGCTCCACTTGGTGACTGCACACGTCTGTTCTGGTTCACTAAGGGTACATGTGATTGTCACAGAGAGCAATCTTACTTCTCTTATTTCTGAGGTCTTTGCGGGCACTTCTCTGTAGTCCCTAAGCACTGACAATAGTCCCCACCAACTCTGCCCCCAACGATTCAAGACAACTGAAGAAAAATTTCCTAAACGTTCTCATTTCAATGTTATCACATTCTAATTTATGTGAGTTTGCCCGACATACTACATAATACCAGAAAAAAAGTCCCCAAAGAGCACCAGAGTGGGTCTTCATGAAGAGAAGGCAGAACCCCTGAGAGCCACATCTTAGTGAAGGCCATTGAACTGCATATGGACCCCTGGTAACAGCTGACACTCAATGGATATATGCCAACAAGTGTCTATATTTCATTTTTTGTGTTTTCAGAGAAAATTTACCAAGGAATGAAAAGTTCTGTGGTGATGTTTGAGACTGTGGTTGGGCATTCCTTCAAATGTGTGAGTGAACAGAGCATCCAGATGTCAACTCACCTTCAACTGAAAACAATGAATGTCCAATATCAAGCCTTTGATTTCGAAGATGACCACTTTGGAAATGGTAAGTCAAATCTTCATCATGTCGCAAACAAAAACTTCGGAGACCCAAGAGTAGTTTCAAATTGTTTTGTGTGTGTCTAACTGTCAAAAGGGACAAGAATCACATGAACTTCCTACAACAGTATGGTTCCACGAAGCTCTTAGGGCCGAGTTTCTCTAACTTTCCCTCCTGCCATTCCTTTGAGTGAATACCAACCTCAAAATTGGACACTACCATGTTCATGTCCACCAGTCTCCCACAGCAGGATACATTCTCCTTGCATGATGTATTCTGACTCCTCAAGTGTATTTGGAGACTTTAAAGATCCTGAATAGTAGTAATATCTAAAATTCAAGATTTCAGAATAGATTTTTTTTCCACTTGCAGAGGGAAAAAAGAAAGTTGCAATAGTAATGTTAGCCCCCCTCTTCTCAATTACGAGCTTAATTCCCCTGGCTAGAGCTTCCTTATAGTTGGTGTTAGTTTCTATGCAACTTCTGCTTTGAGTTCTAACCACTACAGAGAGAAGCAGGTCCTAGGCAGAAGGCCAGGGACAGATGAGGGTGACTTTCTGAAAAAGCCTTTTTTTCCCTTCTGGGAAAATGGGTTACAGGATTGCTACATATGTCCAGGAATTGAATTTCAGTTTCTAAAACATTCCTCTCATAATAACTAAGAACATTATGAGTACCTCTCAATTTTCATAAATAGATTTAGTTAGAAGTTTAGCTGTAAATTAAATTTCTGGAATGTGAGTCCAACTTCTCTTAGTGTTCCATTATAAACTTGAAGGTGTCGACAAAAACCTTCTGATACACTCTCTGGGAGGCACTGAGCAGAGGAAGGATTAAAGTGTCGCTGGCCTTGGATCCCCTGATTTCTGTAGGTTTTGTCTGGAGTCCTCAAACCTCTGCCACCATTTTGGACCTTAACCACAGTGCTAAGATAAAAATATTAAAATTTCTTAGTAGGTGTGGCCCTACAAAATGTGGCACTTTGTCATCTCGTCTCAAAACTTCCAATTTGGGGAAACTTACAAATTCATGATGAGGGTTTGAAAAGCCTCTGTAATTCATCATGTGGTCTTAAAAAATAAGGTACACACTTGCTCTTCCTCCTCCTCCAAACCTCTGTGAAACAGGAAGTGAGCAGGTGGGAAATCGTGTAGTGGCAGAGGTGAGAAATAAAACCTTTCGGCACCATACACCTGGCCTCTCCTAGCAGTGCCCCCAAGGAGATATAGAAAATTTATCTTTTCGTTTTTTCCTGCCCTTCCTCCCCCTTTCATATAATTCTCAACCTCCCACATTCTTAACCCATTTTAGAGAGCTAAAATCCCAGAGCCTGTAAAAGGTTTCTCCAGTACCTGGAGCCCCAGGCTATCCACCAGCAACCTTTAAGAAGCAGAGTCTGGATAAAAAATCTTGGCCATGCAATTTGGGGCAGGTCTCTGTTGCCAGAGGTGGGAAAACTTGGCCTCAGAACTTACCTGGGGTTACAGGTCTGATCCTGACTCTCTGGACCAAACTGACGTTTCCCAAAGTTGGACCTGCCTCCTAACGGCAAGAGAATCACCTGGGCCCCACCTCCAATGCACTGAATCATAATTTCCTGGGTGTGGGGACAGGGTATCTGCAATTTAAGTGATCACAACCACTGCACACTTCCGATCATCGCATTGACTTTTCCCTCCTCGTTTTCACCTATCCATGTCTGAGGCAGCTGTTGGGAAGCCCAGAAGCTCCACCTTTCCCCCTGGGTTTCCTTCTCTGCATGGCTGAGGCAGGCAGGGGCAGTATCACTTCCCAGCATTGCGGCCAGCCTATAACACCTGTTATCTGACTTCAATTGCAGCGGATGAATGCTTCACTGACAGAAACAGGAGAGAAAACCCTGTGGCCGTGGGCCTGAGTATCGCAGTACTGCTTGTCGTTTTGCTAACAGCATGTCTCATGGCCAGCAAGAGGCCCAGTAGAGGATATGAACGCATGTAAAGCCCCACCTTCTTCAAAAGTCGCAAGGTTAAGGCCTTGGGTATTCTGACTTCATATTCAGCCTGAAGTGAAGGGATCAGTTTTTCTACTTGCCTATCCAACCCTCCCAATCTGATTAGGAAACCTGGTTTTCCGCTGCGGGGCCATTGAAAGGTTACCTAAAAGGTAGCCTCCATCCACTTTCTCTTGTTGGCACAGGGAGGCTGTGCCATATGGGCTTGAATTCCACCCTCTACACCTGATAATACAGGGCTGGCTTGGAGAATTAGGACAAGAGGCAGGGACATGAAGAAGGTGCTTGGGAGAAGGAGAAAGCAAATACCTAAAGGGAGAATGATAAGAAACATAAGAAACATGATAAGACATTTTCAAACTGCACTGATTTTTCTTACACATTTTTAAGAGTCTCAATATCCAGTTTTTAAAAAATTACAGTTATAAAAAAATTCATTTCAAAATAGATTCTAAAGTGATTTTAAACTCCCGGATTTTGCCCAATTCCTGGTTTACTTGAATTACAGAATGGTGTTAATAGAATACTGTTTTTAAAAAGACATTATATGCTATTATAATGTAATACTAGTAAAAAAAAAATAGATAACTTCCCAACGTTTCATTTAAAAAAAAATTTTTTTTTTTTTTAATGTAAAGCACCCACCACAGATCTTGGCAAACAAAAGAGGCTCCATAAATTTTAGTTCTCCAATTTCTTCACCTTCATTTATTGTCTGTCTCCTTCACATTTTTTTTCTGCTTTGTCTCTGTTTTTCTTTGATCCTTAGTCTATCCTTGCAAATTTGTTAATTTGGGCCATTGTGGGGAGGGGATGTAGGCAAGCATCAAAACAATCAGGAATTGCAAAGAGAATAGGTAGATCTATCCCAGAGTATTACCCACTTTCCTCTTAAGCAAACATTTACAAAAAAAAAAAAAAAATCATAAACCACGAGGTTCCTGATTGGGAGAGATTGATATGTGGAGGAAAAATTCTATCAAATATGGCTTGGAATGTTATTCATGATTTTCTATTACATTGTTTAAAGAGGAGAATTGAAGAGGCACCTGGGTTGCTCAGTCTGTTGAGCCCGTGACTCTAGATCTCCCCTAAGCTCTTGATTTCAGGGTCCTGAGTTCAAGCCTGGCCTTGGGCTCCCTGTTGGGCACAGAGCCTACATTTAAAAAAAAAAAAAAAAAAAAAAGGAAATAGGAGAATTGAGGTTTTTATTTCCAAAAAAAGGGAGAGTAATGGGCTTCTGGGTGTTTTTAATTGCTTTTACTAACAGAAGTGTTCTTCTTTTTCTTTATTTGCCAGAGGTGCCATTCATTGTTTTTAATAGGAAGTTTATGAACCTTGGCAACAGCTCCATAACCTCTGCTTATCTAGGGCATATTCTGGCTTTCTCTGGAAGGATTTTAGCTCTCTCCACTTTCTTAGAAGTGAGGGGATAGGGAGGGCACACAGCAGCTTCAAGAGAGCTTTAAGAGCCCCTAGGACATTTGGAGTGTTAGGACATTCCTGTTTCCTCCTTACAACAGGAGGTGTTGAGGAAAATCTGGGCTGTGCAAGGCCCTGGTGTTTCCCAGAGTGACTCAAGCTTACCAGGAAGGGCTTGCTTTTGGAGAGATGCCATCTCCATCTCCAGCAGGACCTCCAACAGGTCCCTCCAGCAGCCATCCACAAATACCCGTCTCCCCACTCCCCTTTCCAGCTCTGTCTCAAGTGTGCTCAAGAGCTTCTATACCAAGGAGCATGAGTTGCTTATTCACCGTGCCACTGACCAGCCTGTAGAATGACTAAAGGAAGGTTACTCTTCGAGTGTGTGGAAATGTCCATGGGAAGGGACGTGGAGTTAAAATCAAGAAGAGAGGGATAAGGCAGTTCACATAAATTCAACTTTCCTTTCTACCATCTTCAGTGAGTTCTTTGGGGTGACAGCTGCTGCTTGGAGTCCTGTTATCAATGAATTAATATTCTAGTAAGCAAAAAAGAGCAAAGGTTTCATTTGGAAGACTAGTAAATACACCCCAATGCATTCCTGCCCCGCAGTTCTGCCCACTTTCTGTAGTGATTTCTGGGGAGGGTCCCAGATTGCAACTGCGACAAGTGGCCTCTCCCGCCCCTGGGTTCCTCTGGTGCTGCCCCGGAATCCTACTCTCACAGCTGTAGTTCCAGGGGTCCCAGGCTTACTGCAGAGCGCGCCTGGTCGCTTTCTGGGATCCCCCCGACCGAAGCCCTAGCCGTGGGGGGGGTTGCTCTGTGGGCCTTTCCAGCGGCTGTGCTATCCCCTTACCTTTAGCGCACCTGCTGCTTGCCCGTCCTGAGGGTTTCAACTCCATTTTTCTCTTATGCAGAGGGTAGAGAATCCTGAATTCACCCTTCCCAGTACAACCCACCTAGGGATAATAGAAACCTTCAGGAACGCCCAGCTAGAGATAATGTATCCATTGTTAATTTTGATGTGTTTCCCTAGCATGAATATTGTTTTATAAACTGGAGCATACAGAGTACACAATTTGGAATCCTTTGTTACGTGTGCATCATAAGCATTTCTCTGTGCTATTAAAGGTGCAAAGTGTCATTATTACAGCTGCTATGAATACGCTATCAACATCCTATAATAATTTACTTAATTATTGTGTTGTTGAGAATTTTTATTGTTTTTAGGTTTTCACGAATATGTGGTGATTAAAGAATTACACATGAATTAAAAAACAGACAAGACATTGCTTAACAGATGTGTATAAATGTGTGCCTGAATTTCGCTTTTGCCTCATAAACTGTTTAAAATGGTTATAATTTATTCTGCAGTACTGATTCTTAATTTTTAAGAAAAAGTGGAAACAAAAGAAATACATGTAGATGGTTTAAAGATTTTATTACAGAAATATATGAAAAGAAAAAGCAGAGCTAAAATCGTGACTAGAATTTCCCTCACAGAATTTCCTTCCTCATTATCAAATAAATTGGGGTCGGGGGGGGAGTGTTTAAAATCATCAGTGGCAGTCAAGATATAATCTAATGCAATAAACTTTTAAAACTGGTGAACAAAAAAGAAAAAAGATTCAGAAGAACAGTTGAGAGGACAGCAGAGCTGGGCTCTGGGCACCTGTCCCCCCAAGTATACTCACCAGGAAGCCATATGATGAGAGAAAAAAATCTCTTCAACACTTAACTACCATTCCTAAAACTGGAGAGAAAAAGACTGGTTATTTCATCTCTTCTCATCTAGGAGTAGTGAAAATGGCTACTGGGAAGAGGAGGCAGAGTAAACACAGAGACTGATGGAGGTGAACTGGGGAGCCAACCCCAGATCACTGGATATCCCCAGGATGTGGCTAAGTCCCAAGGTACAGAAAAGAAGATAGACTCCAAATAGATAGCTCAATGGGAAACATTAACTGATCTCAGACACAGTGGGAAGAAAAGCCCTAATTTACCCGAATGATATTAAAGGTAACGCAATGTCCTGGATGAGATGCTCAAGGATGAGCCGAAAAAGACTGCCTGGCTGGTCAGTCAGTGGAGCTGGCAACTCTTGATCTGGGGTTTGTAAGTTTGAGTCCCATGTTGGTTGTAGAGATTTCTTAAAAATTAAAAACCTTAAAAAAAAAAAAAAGGAATATGCAAGATAAAAACAAGTTCTATGACCACTATGCAACATTACTGCAGCAAAATAACATAAGACTTATATTAGATCAAAATATGGCTGTAGAGTTTAAGTTTTGCAAGATGAAAAATATTCTGGAAATGGGTAATGGTGATGGTTATAATGAAAGAGTGGGGTGAACGGGAGATTACACTCCTACAAGTGAACAAATTGGGCATCTGCCCTCGGTGCAGAGTCTGTTCAAGATTCTCTCTCCCTCTCCCTCTTCCTCCCCCATGCCCCTTCCTCCACTTGTACTCTCTCTCTCCCCGAAAAAAAAATAAATTAAAATCTTCAAAATGTATTGTTAAATGAAAAAAAGCATAATGTACAATAATAGTGAGAAAAGGAGGGGGTGCCTGGATGGCACAGTTGTTAAGCATCTGCTTTCGGCTCAGGTCATGATTCCTGGAATCGCGCCCCACATCGGTCTCCCTGATCTGCAGGAAGCCTGCTTCTCCTTCTACTCCCCCTGCTTGTATCCCTCTCTCACTGTCTCTCCATCAAAGGAGTAAATAAAAATCTTAAAAAAGAGAGAGAGAAAGGGAGGAAAAAATATACTTTGATTTTTGCTTATATCTGAGAGATTGGAAATGTATATAAAAAGCCAAATGGTTAGGGTGCCTGGGTAGCTCAGTGGGTTAAAGCCTCTGCCTTCAGCTCAGGTCATAATCCCAGGGTCCTGGGATCGAGCCCCACATCAGGCTCTCTGCTCAGCAGGGAGCCTGCCTCCCCACCTCTCTCTCTGCCTACTTGTGATCTCTGTCAAATAAATTAAAAAAAAAAATTAAAAAGCCAAATGGTTACAGCAGGGGGAACTGAGCTGGAAAAGGGTGAAAGTGGAACTTCTCAATGTACAGCATTTTATAGTATTTTGACTTTGAATTGTGAATGTGCTATTTGAAACAAATTTTTTAACCATAGGAATGACAGTTATCAAATAGAATTGAAATAATGTAAACCCAAACAATGATTGAAAAAATAATATATCTATTCAAAGTTTGAGTTGGGAGGAAGAGAGATAGAAAGGAATCTGCCTGTGCTCATCTTTCAAAACACTATCAATAGATAATGTCTAAATTGGAAACACAGGATTTAGAAAACATATAATGTCCTGTCATTTATTTCATAACCCTCTTAATTCATTTCATAATCCTTTAGTGTGTATTTATAATCTCTTTTTTGAACCTTAAAGGGATCTTTTATGAAACAATACTTTCTGAAACAAAGATACATTAATTTGAAGTTCAGTAACTGTCCCAGTTTTGTTTTAGCTTTTTTTTTTCTTCTGTGAAATCAAATAAATGAAAATCAACAATTTTGGTAAAATAGCACTTGCATGATCCTATATTAATACAAGTGTTTGTACTTATTTTTCTGCCCATCCATCCTTGTAGGTGAAGTTATATTGGTTCATGTTTTAGCAAGGATAATTTCTGGGTGGGTAGTTTTCAGGTGATTGGTTTTGTTAGGGGTCCAGGGGAGGTTTGCCCAAAATGTTCCACAAAGGCATATTGATTATTTTGAATTGAAGCTACTTGGGAAACAAGGACATCCACAGATCCTCCTCTGTCACCCTGAAAGCAGAAAATTAATGTCCCATGTGAAAGATACCACCCCTGTATTAAGAAATAAAAAGACATTCTTATCACCTGAGAAAGGAACTTGAAAGCCACGAAAGCTATAGAAACAAATCCTGTTACTTTTTACTAATTTACCGTCTCAGCCCAATTCCACTTAGAATTCCTTACTAATTGAACCTTCCAAACGTCTGTTTTCTTTATCCTGTCAATTCCTTGCAAGTATATTATCTCTTTGTCTAAAATGTATCAAAACTGCCTGCCTTGGTCATTTCTTTGGGTGTCAGTTTCATTATTGGCCCTCTGTGCACACATAATAAAATTAAGGTTTTTTTTTTCTATTAATCTGTAATTCTTAAACCAATTGGAAGAATCTTGGAGGAAAGAAGAAATTTCTTCCTCTCCTACAGTTTTTACTTTTTTTTTTTGAGTTTTCGTAAATCATCTCAATTATTTATAATGAGAAAATACCATTTTAAACAAATAGAATGATGTTTCTTTAAGCATACAGCACACACACACACACTCAGATATGTACAGAGGAAGCAAATGCCTTCAAAGGTTTGCAGCGATTCATTCAAGTGGAAGGACTGCAGTGATCAGATAATTATTTTCTTTGTGTACTTTTCTGAATTTTAAAAACATTTCAGCAATGTGACATTAAATAGTATAAAACTATATGGAGAGTAAAAGTTGCTCTCGGGGTTCCTGGGTAGCTCAGTCCGTTAAACGTCTACCTTTGGCTCAGGTCATGATCCCCGGGTCCTGGGATCAAGTCCTACATCGGGTTCCTTGCTCAGTGGGGAGTCTGCTTCTCCTTTTCCCTCTGCTCCTTGACCCTGCTCATACTGTCTCTCCCTCTCCAATAAATAAATAAAATATTTTTTAAAAATAAGATTTTTTAAATTTATTGGAGAAGGAGAGAGAGCACACAAGAGCCAGGGAGAAAAGGCACAAAGGGAGAGAGAAGCAGAGTCACCACTGAGTGGGGAGCTGGATGTGGGACTCAATCCCAGGACCCTGAGTTCATGACCTGAGCCAAAGGCAGACTCTTAACCTACTGAGCCACCCAGGAGCTCCGAAATAAAATCTTAAAAAAAAATAAAGTTGCTCTCTCTATTCTCATCCTAGCCCTTCCCCAGTATCTTGCTTATCTTTTCACTTCAGGTGCATGGGCACATTTGTTTGTATTCATGCAACCCTCTGCAGATCTTAGGGGACCTCTCTGTCAGCTCACTGAGATCTACCACATTCTTTGTGTGGCTACATTATATTGTATTGTATGGATATGACATTTTAAATTTTGGATGGATATCTAGATTATCCACTTTGTTCTCATAAAATGAGATTGTTGTAACATGTCTTTGTATATTCACATGAATATATTGTTAGTATAAGTTCCTAGTAGTGGAATTACTTTAGGGTATATGTTCTACATTTTTTTTGTATTTTTTTTCCAAATCATTTTAATCAAATTAACTTCTTAATTTGTCAATGTTCTTTTCTATCTAAGAAATATATATATATATATATATATATATATATATATATACATATATACATATATATATATGTATATATATATGTATATATATGTAACAGGGTTGCCTGGGTGTCTCAGTCAGTTAAGTGTCTAACTCAGGTCATAATCTCAGGGTACTGGGATCAAGCCCTGTGTGGAGCTCTGTACTCAGCGGGAAGTCGGCTTGAGATTCTCTCTCCCTTTGCCCTTCCCCCACCTCATGTGTGCCTGCTTTTTCTCTCTCTATGATAAATAAATCTTTGACTTTAGATACATATATAGAAATACATATATAACAAAATTGTGTACTCTAAAAGGACTTATGAAAAGCAACATTTCCCTGTCCTTCCTCTAAGAGACAAAGTACTTTTAACTAATTTTAATAATTTCTTTTTTTTTTAATATTTTATTTATTTATTTGACAGACAGAGATCACAAGTAGGCAGAGAGGCAGGCAGAGAGAGAGAGGAGGAAGCAGGCTCCCTGCTGAGCAGAGAGCCCGATGCGGGGCTCGATTCCAGGACCCTGAGATCATGACCTGAGCCGAAGGCAGAGGCTTTAACCCACTGAGCCACCCAGGTGCCCCTAATTTTAATAATTTCTTATTGTAACTACTTTGGTAATTCTTTTTAAAAATGTTAAAAAGCTTTCTTATTTCTTAATTTATTAGCTTTAAACTACTTATTATGGTAGATAAGGATTTCATACTCTTACGCCATTACTTTTATGGTTATATTTTTGTTTTTTGCCAAATTAATAAGGTATATATTATTATAATTATGTAAGTATTTCCACTGCCATGTCAAAAGTGTAGGACAAGCACAATTCCTATCTTGTAGAGATTTGTTGTTTCCTGGAATCTCTATCATTCGCTCTCCCCTGGTCCCTTCTGATTCTTTTTTCTCTGACCGCAGGTAAGACTTGATCCTTGATTCATTTTGATATTGGCTCATGCAAGGATCTCATGGATATATTATCTATTCTTTTTCTTCTAAGATATTATTCTAATATTTGAAATTTTGACCAAAAGTCTTCTTTGCATGTAGTTTAAATTTAAATCCTTGCCCCCACCTTATTCTTCCATCCTATTCTCCCCTTAGCCACCCATAGGCAATTACTTTTATTAGTTTATCATGCATTCTTATCCTTCCAAGTTTTCTTTAAGTAAATGCAAGCAAATATATCTTCATTTCTTCTTTATTTACACAAAGCATTGTAGTACTATATTCAATTTTCCATGCATTGCTTTCCCCCTCTTAACATATACTGGAGATTTTTCTTTTTTGACACACAGTGTTACAGTAGTTTCAGGTGTACAACATAGTGATTCAACTTCTCTATGGGTTATGCTATGCTCACAAGTGTAGCTACTCTCTGTCACCATGCATGCCATTACAATATTATTGACTCTATCCCCTATGCTGTGCCTTTCATTCCTGTGACTCATTCATGCCATAATTGAAGCCTGTATCTCCCATTCCCCTTCACCTACTCTGCCCATCCCCTCAGCCTCCTTCCCTCTGGCAACCAACAGTTTGTTCTCTGTATTTATAGGTCTGATTTTGCTTTGTTTGTTTATTCATTTGTTTTGTTTTTCTGGATTCCATATATGAATGGAAATCACAGGGTACTTGTCTTTCTCAGTCTGACTTGTTTCACTGAGCATAATACCCTCCAGGTCCATCCATGTTGTTGCAAATAGCAAGATCTCACCCTTTTGTGGCTGCATAATATTCCATTGTGTGTGCATACCACATATTCTTTATCCATTCATCTACTGGCTCTTATCTATCCTTGAATAAGATATAGATATAGTTTTCTACTTAAGTGTGTTCAATGACATACCTTCTTTTCCTTGGGGCTCTCCATCTTTCTCCAAGGGGAGACTGATTACATTTTAAATGAACTGAATAAGCACTCTCCAATGAAATAAAGAAAAAAGTTTTGACAAATTTACAAACTCTCATTTTTAAGCTCTTATGAATATTTAGGTCTGTTTTCTAATGTTTTTAGCTCATTAAACACAATAAAAAGAACGTTAAGTGTAGCAAAAATGTTTTACATTTTTGAAAACATGGATAAACATCACACATTTTCAAGAGATCGTGTGTAATGTAACAGAAGTCTCTTTATGTAAACACATTCTACTTTGCAGAGAGCACACCTGGAAGAAAATGGGTCTAACAATTATTAAATATTGAATAATTGCTGAGAAGATAAATGTGTCTTATTTAATCCTTCAACAATTTTATATATTATTTGTATATATATTTGTATATATAATATATATATTTGTATACAGTATATACAAATATATACGATATATATTTGTATATATATTATATATATATATATATATATAATATATATATATGAAATGAATGAGGAAAGTGCAAGGTTCCATAACTCATCCCGGTTCACACAGTTAGTGGTGGAATTAAAAGTCAAGCCCGGTTGTGTGTCAACTATACTTAAATTTTTTTTTAAAGATTTTATTATTTATTTGACAGACAGAGATCACAAGTAGGCAGAGAGGCAGGCAGAGAGAGAGGAAGGGAAGCAGGCTCCCTGCTGAGCAGAGAGCCCGATGCGGGACTCGATCCCAGGACCCTGAGATCATGACCTGAGCCAAAGGCAGCGGCTTAACCCACTGAGCCACCCAGGCGCCCCTCAACTATACTTAAATTTTAAAAAAAAGTCAGGTTAGGATTTGACTCTCAAGTTCATATCCTTCCTACTCTAGCCCACTTTCTGGTCTGTCCTCACTGAACCTTACCTGCTATCTTGTATTTTTTTTCTCTCTCTCTCTTAGTGGACGAGTGTTCGTCTGACTACACAATTGTGCTTCCTGTGATTGGGGCCATTGTACTTGGTCTCTGCGCTGTGGGTTTGATTGTCTATGGAATCCGCCTAAGACGCGAATCATCTGGATACCAGAGAATCTAATTGGTGCCCAGGGGAAAAGAATGTAATGGCATTTAGAGAATTCTTTCATCGGTTCCAGGGTATTGGGGATATTTCCAGGATATTTCCTTAGAATTAGTGCTTCCAACAATGTAAACCACCATCTTTCACAAACCCCAAGTCATTTCTGATTGAAGTCCAAGCAGCAAATCGTTTCTGCAGAGTGTTTGTTCATTTTATGAATGATCTAGTGAGTTGTTTCAGAGTATTTTCCAACTTCCTGCAAAATATTTTAACCATTCCTAAGTCAACATTTGAGATATGTTAAATTAACATAATGTATGCAAAGTGGTATATGCTTCCAAATTATAAACTTAAATGTCAATTGTAATTAAAGCTACCTGTGCACATTGGGGATTTTATTTTATCCTTCATCTTTCACATTTAAAAAAAAAATGCCTCTACTTTACCTATGAAATGGACTTCTAGTGCTTTTACTCTCCATGTTTTATATGATATACATATATCTGATGACCTGCTTGTCTTCTTTCCACATTAATTTTTTAAAAATCATGAAAAAAACTACCATATCACAGGTTGTCTAGGTTTGACGTGAAACTAACAAGAAGAACAAATCAACTTATAATCTTGATGACTCCTCCTTCAGAATCACTAGAGACTCAGAACTCGGTGGCTATGGACAACAGAATTCACTAATAAGCCAGAAACAATAGCCCTTAATTTTTTAACGCATCTATGCCAGACACTAGGCTAAGTTTAGATACAGCCCATTTAATTCTCACAACTTATAGATGAGTAAACTCAAACTTCAGGAAATGAATCCCCTCCATGTCACCAGCTCACAAGTGGCAGACGCAGAATTTGAGTGCCAGCTGGTCTGTGGTAAGATCTCTGGACTTTTCATTACACCATTGACACTGACTGCTACCTGAAGCCTCACACCAGCGCACACTCCTTTTTCACAGAGAAAATTAATTTCTCCAGAGTCATGAGAGATTAGGAGACACGAAATGAGGACTTGATAGGTAATGAAATAGCTGATCTTCAACAAAGTTCTCTACCTCCTTGAAGGGGGACTGGGGGACTCTGAATGAAAAACACGGGTTTCTTATTTGTATAGGATTGTGCCACTGTGGCTCTAAAGATAAAGGAATGGAGGAAACTTCTTAAGTCATTTTTTATTTCTTTGAAAATAGAGAAATCTAACCACCAACCACCTTTTCTTTCTTGACCGTAGATCCCCCTCTTGTGGTAACTTGCTTCTTCTGCACTGTTACAGCCACATTTTCTATCCTAATTCACTTCATTCAGTAGAACAACCTGCCAAGAATTGATTCCTGCTTGTTTTTACAACTAAAGAAAGGAGCTAAGTCTACTAACAGAAAAGACCACATAACCCTAGCATTCTTTAGGAAAGGATTAATTCAGGTCACCCTAGAAGACAGGTTGACTTTCTTGACTTGTTCTCTTATGAGTCAGTAGGGTTGGCAAGATTCTCGGTTTAGTCTTAATAGAATATTGAATTGTATTAGAAGTTTTTGTAATAAAAACTTTATTTGGAGGTGAATTTATGTCATTCCTGTCTTATAATTTGATTTTTGTTTACTATCGTAGTGGAGGTTCTTGCTTGAATCAATACAGTACATCATCTTTTTATGACTTATTTTATGGACTATTCTCTACCGCCACTTTACTACTAACTAGGAAGACCTAATGAGAGAATCTGAATTTTTGAGAAGAAAACCACATTAAAATTATAAATTAAATCTCTCAACTTTTAGACCAGACTAACTGACTAGATTACTGGTATACTTGACTGCTGCCACCATTTATCCATTCATTTATTCATTCATTCAACCAACATCAATTAAAGCCTTACTAAATGCCAGACACTCTGGTAGGGGCTGAGATAAATAAGAAGTCCTGTATTAGCTGTATTAGTCCTGTATAGCTATGGAACAAGGTAACCCAAAACTTAGCAGACTAAAAGAACACACATTTATTATCTCACACAGGTTCTGAGGGTCAGAAATCCTGGAGTAGCTTAGCTGGGTGGTTCTGGTTCAGGTTCTCTTACAGTTCTCTTATGGTTAAGCTGTCATCTGAAAGTTCAACTGGGGCTGAAGGCTCTGCTTCCGAGTTCCCATCATGTGGCATATCTACAGGAATACTCACAACATGACAGCTGACTTTCCCCAGGTGAGTGGTTCAAGAGAGAGAGACTGACCACCTATTCACAAAATTTACATACCATTCACTTGTGTTGAATTCACACCAACTATTTCTGGTATGTTATAGAGTGAAGACCAGGAGAGGTGGAAATCAGTGGGAGCCATCTTGGATACTGGCTACTCCAGGTCCACTGTCAAGGTTGAATTACTGGTTTACTTTTGGGGGGCATTTCAGGTAAATATATTCCAGTATGTACACAAAGAAAAGTGGCTTAATAGGAAACTATACAAAGGGTAATGATGGTAGGACCCTAACCAGCCTGCTGCCAACTTTGCCCCAAGTAGAGCACCTCCCCAGGAGAGCAGCTCCTCAACCTCTGGTGCTAACAGTCTATTGACCAGCAGCTGTTCAGGCAGACTTGCCTGTTCACCAGGCCTGGTTGTTGGCTCATTGGTCTACAATGTTAATTGATGGCTTTGCCTCAAGAATTTGTTAACTCTTTGTCATAATATAATCCAAAGAGATCTGGACCACACAGATATCCCACAAGACATCACACCGAACAATTACTTTGATGACATTATGCTAATTTGACAGGACAAGCACAGAGCCATTCTTATGTTGGAGGCCCGGGGAAGACATGTGTATTACAGGAAATAGGAGACAAACCCGATGAAGATTTAGGTAGGGACTAACTAATTCATTGAAGTTTTTAGGGACTCAGGGGGTCAGAGGCATGCCAGATATCCCCCCAAAATAAAACACAAATATTTTGCATCTTGCATCCTTTCCATGAAGAAGAAACCATAGGGCACCTGGGTGGCTCAATGGGTTAAGCCTCTGCCTTCGGCTCAGGTCATGATCTCAGGGTCCTCAGATCGAGTCCCGCATCAGGCTTTCTGCTCAGCAGGAAGCCTGCTTCCTCCTCTCTCTCTGCCTGCCTCTCTGCCTACTTGTGATCTCTCTTTGTCAAATAGATAAATAAAAATCTTAAAAAGAAGAGGAGGAGGAGGAGGCAGAGGAGGGGGAGGGGGAGGGGGAGGGGGGAGGGGGAGGGGGAGGGGAGGACCAGGTAGGTCTTTCTAGGGTCTAGAGACAACTTTACACAGCTAGGAAAATTCCTCTGGCCCATTTGCCAGGTGACATAGAAAGCTATCAGTTTTTAGTGGGGCCAGAGCAGGAGAGGGCAGGACAACAACTCTAGGCTTTAATGCAATCAGCTCTGCTGCTTGAGCGTACAATCAGGCAAACCTCATGTTGGAGGTATCAGTGGTGGGGAAACATACAGTATGGAATTTTTGGCAAACTCCAGTGGAAGAATCATAACACAGGTCCTGAGTACTCTGGAGGCCATGCCATTTGCTGCAGAAAAATAGATGCCCTTTAACATGAAGCTCGTGGCATGTTACTGGGTCCTGGAACACTTGACTTTAAGACACTGTTACCACATACCCAGAATTGCCCAGGTTGAGCTGACTTCTGTCAAATCCACTAAGTAATGAAGTTAATCTTAAAATGGTAATAGGACAGAGGTCAGTAAATTACAGTTCATGGTTTGGCCACCCGCTTTGGTAAATAAAGTTTTGTGGAGTACAGCCATGCCCATGTGTTTATGTATTGTCTACAGCTGCTTTACAACAGCAGAGTTGAATAGTTTTAACAGAAACCGGTCCACAAAACTTAAAATATTTATTATCTTCCCTTTTACAGAAAACTTGCCAGGCCTTCAGGTAGTTAAATGTTTAAATTTATGAGAAACTGCTGAAAGGTTTTTTCCAAAATGGTGTTTGTCTTTCTCTATCTGGCTAAGTTTACTGGACATAATGTCTTTCCAGGTTCATCCATGTTGTCCCACATGGCAGGATTTCTTTCTCATAGCTGAATATTGTTCCATTGTGTACATTTATACTGCATCTTCTTGGTTCATCCAGTCAATGGACACCTATGTGGTTTCCACAACTTGGCTATTGTGAATAATGCTGCAATGAAGGTGAAAGTAGAGATATCTTTACAAGGTACTGATTTCCTTTCTTTTGGATATATACTCAGAAGTGGGATTTCTGGCTTATATGGTAGTTCTATTTTGAATTTTCTAAGGCACCTCCATACTGTTTTCCAGAATGGCTATCCATTTTATATCTCCACCAACAGTGGCAAGTGCTCCCTTCTGTCTACATCTCCACCAACATTTGTTATCTTTTGTCTTTTTGACGATAGCCAACCCAAGTGGTGTGAAGTGACATCTCATCGTGGTTTTGGTTTATATTTCCCTGATGATTAATGATACTGACCACCTTTTCACATAGCTGTTTGCTATTTGTATGTCTTCTCTGGAAAAATGTCTATTCTGGTCCTTTGATCATTTTAAGGTGGGTTATTTGTTTTTTGCTCATTTTTTACAATTAGTGAACAGCATGCATCACTTCATTTTATTTTATTTTTTTAAAGATTTCATTTATTTGTCAGAGAGAAGGAAAGATAGAGAACACAAGCAAGGAGAACAGCAGGTAGAGGGAGAAGCAGGCTCCCGGCTGAGCATGAAGCTCCATGTGGGACTTGATCCCAGGACTCTGAGTTTATGACCCGAGCCAACAGCAAACACTTAACTGACTGAGCCACCCAGGAATCCCTATTTTTTGCTATTGAGTTGTATGAATTCTTTATATATTTTACATATCAACCTGTTGGTTTATAACCCTCCTGGAAGCTTCCCAGGTGCAATCTGAAACCAGTCCCCAATTTTCTCTTGCATTATGGTTCTTTTTTTCTTATTGATTTGTAGGAGATATTTATTTATTAAGGAAAGTAGTGCTTTTTTGTGATAAGAGTTATAAATTATTCCCAGTTTACTCTTTGTTTTTCCTATGTATGTTTTGCTGTGCAGATTTAAAAAAACTGAATTTGATTAATTTTCATTTATAGTTTGAGTATTGTGTTCCACTTAGGAAAACCTTCCCTCTTTTAAGATCTCCCATAGTGTTTTCTAGCCTCTTTTATGCTTCCATCTTTTATATTAATCTCTTATTTTTTTAGAATTTATTTTGATTTTAGGTATGAGAAGTAAGGATTCAACTTTATTCCTCAAAGAGCTAGCCACTTGTATCAATACCACTTCTTGAATTATTGAGTCTTAAAATCTAGAATGTATGTTGAATTTTACTAATGACCTGTTAAGCATCTATGAACATAAGATTTTTTAAACTATTAATAAGATTAATTAATCAATTATATGAATACTGAATCATTTCTTGTAACATCATCCAAGTTTTCAAATTTATTTGCTTAAAGTTGAGCAAAATTAGTCTCCAGCAAATCTATAATTTGTTTTCTGTATCTGTGACTTTTTCCCACTTATTTTTTTTTAATCATGGCAACTGTGCATTTTTCTCCATTTACTTTTATTAAATTAGTTAACTACATTATTAATTTCTTTTCTAAACCTCTGGATTTATTCTTTAATATGTTTTCTAAATTCGTTAATTTCTTCTTTTTTGTTGCTAATTTCTTTATTCGCTTTCCTTGTATTTATTTTTGTTTTTTAACCCTTGAATTGATTATTTTATTTCCACTATGAATTTGCTTACAAGCCCTGCTTTAACTATGTTCAAATAAGCATTTGTATGTAGTGTTTTTATTTTCTAGATATTCTGCAATTTGGGTTTTGACTTCCTCTATTTCCCAATAGTGCACTAAAACACTTCCTTATTTTTATTTACTATTATTATTTTAGAGAGAGAGCGCTCCTGAACGACAGGAGGGGTTGGGGGAAAGGAAGAGAAAGAACTTCAAGCAAACTTCGGGCTGAGGAAAGAGCCCCACCCTGGACTCCATCTCTGCACCTGAGCCAAAATCAAGAGTCAGAGGCTTAACCCATTGAGCCACCTAGGCGCCTCTGAACTAAAACACTTTTTTAAAAACTCGGGTAATTTTAACTTTTTTAAATTTTATTTTAGTTATTTACTTCAGGATTTTTTTTCCCCCCTTTCTCGAGAACACTAGAAAAATTACGTGTTTTGCTCTTCTTCCCATTTGACTTTTCCCCCAGGACTCCGCCTCCACCACTTTCTCCCGGAGTTGAAAAAGGTCAAGAGGCGGGCTCTCCGTAAAGCGCGAAGAGAACGAAGGAACCCAGCGGCCCAATAGAAGAAATAGCAACCCAGGACCCAGGGGTGCCAAGGAAGGTGAGGGGCGGACCTCGCGTTCCCTAGGCGCTACGTCCAAAGCGGCCCTAGGAGGCAGGGACCACACCCCCGCGGGTTCGTGGCCGATTAGCCAATCGTCGCCCCCGATGCCCTGCTCTGCTCTTTGATTGGTTTTAATGGAGACGCCCCCTCCATGCTAGAGAGACCTAGAGCCTGACTCAGCCCTGGACGGTG